TTTCTTTGCGGTCCCTTAGTAGCAGGTTCAGGGTTGGATGAAGACTGCTAGCAGGAGCCAACACATCTTTCCTGGGCAAGAGACACAGGCACACATCTGATCAAGGGATGGGAGAAGGACTGAGAAAACCTTGACATAGACAGCAGCATGCTTGGGTTTGAGGAGTTCTTCAGAAGAAGGGCAATGGAGAGCGGAAAGTCTGGGCAGGACTGATTGATTTAAGGCAAAGACAGCACAAATACGGAAGGATTCAGTGGCAAAATAAGAACAGGCATGGAAGAGACTGCCATACTGAACCATTGGGGCTGCTGAATTTGTACTGGAGATTAATGAGAACAGATTTGATAGAGATAAAAAGATAGCATACAATATTAAAAATAATTTATTTAGGACAGCTGAATAGCTGTGACCAAGAGTTTTCACTCTTTGAAGGGGAGCAAGTTTGAATATGCAATGAAAAGAAATTTTTGTTAAATATAATATAGAAACATCACTGAAGTAAAGAGCTTGGTAAGATTAGGAGATGAAGGCGGGTAACCACAGGTTATAGACACAGGCAGGTCCTTTGATAAAGGTAAGAAAAAGTCTAAAGGTTTGGCATGCATATTCATTTTCATATTTCAGGGGATAAAATGTATTCCTTTTAAGAAAGGCAGAAGGTAGCAGCTGCCCTGGGCAACTGACCACCATTTACTGCACTTTCTTTTGAATGATTTGATATTGATTTATGCCAAGACAGAGTGCTGACCGTGAAGGATCTCTGCTCTAATTCATATGATAATCTCAGGGCTTCAGAATGTCTCATGACTCATCTAACATTACATACAAACTGAACAGAAGTTAAAAATTATAAACTCCCTAGAATAGACAAGCAATTGCTTAACACCAGCATTTAGAAGCAAAGCTCCAGAGTGATACTTGCTGTCCTACGGAGGCTGACACCATGGATGGCAGCACTTGCAGAAGCCAACTTCATCAAAGACTGAAAGTCAAAGGGAATCAGGAGCTGCGCTTGACTTCTGGCCACACAGTTAAATACAGACTTCAGATTGAATCCTTGGTGACAGGTCAGAAAAGCTCAGTTGCTTACAGCTGCATTTGAGTAAAGTGGGATTATAGGAAAAAATACACGAATATTTGCAAATGCATATGTATCTGATGTGAATGGCTAAAAATAAAATGCGGCTTCTGTATGACTGTCAATCACTGCTGAAAACAGCCATGATGCATTTGACATCGGATAAATTTAGAGAATCTGAGCTATGTAACGCTCAGTTCCAACACTATAAACATCTAAATCCAGTCATTCTGACCATCTATCACTAGGCAGTAGTGCCTCCTTGATTGCTACAAATTTTAGGCATGCTACACAGTTAGCAAAGTACAAATGCAAAGGACAAATACAGTTTAGGGATGAAACTGAGTCCTCTTCACATTGCGTACAAGAATTATTAGATGTGCTATACTTTATAAAATGCAAGTGGTTGAAAAAAGGAAGGAAAAGGAAAGGAACAGGACCTAAGAATTTGTATTTGGTTTTAATTAGTAAAAAACTGTGTAGGCTTGACTCCAAGGCAAAAGGTTTTGCCCTTCTAAATTCATTACAACAGCAGCCAGGTTTCAAAAATGTTTTGCGAGTTAGTTTATAAACTACTTCCTTACTCATCTTGTTCTTCTTCTGCTATCTCTGAAACTGTTGCTGGAAAGATCTGGTATCTCCCAGTGATTACCAGCATCCAGTTAGAACCAACAAAGGAGAATTCTTCCTTGTCACTGGTAGCAAAGGCATTGAATCATGAAAAGCATTGATCTTTACTACTGGCTTTGGCAGGTATAGGAACAAAACCCTATACTACAATTATTACGCATTTTCTCAAGGGAAACCAAGAACAGAATTGTTGGGTTCGGTGCATTAACAAGCTGCATCATCAAGTCACAACTCATCAGCAAGTCACACTCAGTGTACATTTGTATATTTGTCTCTCAAATGTTTCCATTTTGGTGTACAAACACCAAATAGGACTTAATACCCTTAAATACCATTAATTACAAAACATTGTTTTATTTATAGTTGCTAACCACTTATTTCTTCCTTTTTGTTTGTAATGTGAAAAGGAGATCTGAATGAGAGCCGAACTAAGCATTGGCAAAAATTGATTGACCGCCCAAAACCAAAGGCGAATGAAGCAAGAGCCTAGAACCAGCTGTTAATATCTTTCTCACCATCACCTGCCAAAGTGGGCAAATTCATTGGAAAGACAGGGATTTGTTTTTAAAATATTTTGCTCTTTCATAGCCAAAAAAGTTAAAGTGAATCTAACAGAGCAAAGGAAATACGTCCTCTGTACAGATGCCTGGTGAAATCAGTACCATCCCATACAGACCGACAGTTTGTCCTCAGACACCACACAGCCAGGTACTGGAGTCAAGGATGTATGGCAAGATGGAGGCACAACCCAATTCTATATTTAACTTAGGCAATCCTGTTTTCTTAAAATAGGTTTGCTGAGTGAAGGAATTGATATAAATGGGATATATTATAAGAGAGAGGCAGTAGCAGCAGAAAGTGTCCCATGTCTTGATCTTAGTAAGATTTTTTGCACTGTCTTACCTGTCAATCTCATAAGTACCTTGGCGTTTCCTGGTTTAGAGGCTGTTATTTTAAATGGCTGAAAAATTGGTTGATTAATTATATCAAAGGATATTTAACCATTGTTCACTATCAAACTAGAAGGATATTTTGAGAGCTGTTCTGCAAAAGACATTTCTGGTACTACTCAGGGTTTTTTTCACGAATGCTATGCCTCTGGGGAAAAAAATAATATTCCTAATCTTTGTGGCTGGCACAACTCTGGGAGATGTCGAGCACACCAAGAGTGAGGGCTAGAGTTTACAATAATCTTGAAATATTGGTTTCATAGTTTTAAAACAAAAGATATGATTCAATAAAGACAATGGCAAAATACTACACTTGGGTAAGACTGACCAAATGTAAAAAACAAGCTGGAGAACAGGCTTCTCTGTGAAGGCTTCTCTTCTCACAGAGAAGCAGAGGGAGTGCTGGTAGGTAGCAAACTCAGCATGAGCTAATGATATCAGGCTGTTATGAAAAAGGCAAATGTTAAAATGTAATGTTGGAATGGGAGTGCTGCTGGAGATACCTGAAGCAATCTTTCCCCCTTGCATGGTGTTAATAGGTACTTAAATTATACTGTGTCCAGCTGAACTCTGCACTTCATAAAAGGCAAGGACAAAGTGGAAGCAGCCCAGAGCAAAACACCTGTGGTCTAGGAACTGTGACATGTAGAAAGACTGAAGGAATCACAGAATGGTAAGGGTTGGAAAGGACCTACAAAATCATATGTTTCCAACCCCCCTGCCATGAGCAGGAACATCTTCCACCAGACCAGGTTGCTCAGAGCTCCATGCAACCTGGCCTGGAACACTGCCAGGGAGGGGGCATCCACAGCTTCTCTGGGCAACCTGTGCCAGTGCCTCACCACCCTCATGGTGAAGGACTCAGGGTTATTTAAGCTAAGAGAAAACCAGTGGAAGACATTATAGCAGTGTACAGCTGTATGAAAAGTTGCTGCAAAGAAAAAATGAGTAAAACACTCTCCTTATCTACCAGGAACACAATAAGAAGTAACAGGCCTAAACAGCTGCATAGAAAATGCAGCTTAGACATCAGAGAAGCACTAGAACATACTAGCTGAAGGGTTGGAGGAATTTCCATCAATGGCAGTTGTTAAGGACAGGCTAGACAAATGTCCATCAGGAATGGTGTACACAGTCCTTAGACTGATCATCTTTCCTTATTCTATGTATTTTACCCAGCAATTGGAATTCTGGGCTGCTGCAGGCTTGGTCATTGCAGAGCACTGGAGCTCATAGACCTGTCTCCTGTGCTAGTTTCATCTGTACAGGCCAAAACACTGAGAAGAAAATTTGAGGACTATATGTGGCCAGGAGCTGTCTGGGAATGGGAACTTGGAGCTGTCTTGTGAGAGAGAGGCTCTGACAAGAAGCTGGAGTGCAGGGACGAGATCAGAAATTAGCCGAGCAAAAAAACTAGCATGAGCAAAACCTTTTGCTCAGGCT